GCTGTCACATTCGAGTACGAGTAGTCGAGTACACAAGTACTCGTGCCCATCCCTACTTTGGCCATCCACGTCCGTGCACTGTCTGCGTGACGATTTTCGTAATAAGGACCCAGCAAGCAATTGCCGTCATTTCACAGTCTAGGTTAACTATAGACCCGATATAGTCCAGCTATGAGTAACCCACTTCTAGCCAAAATAACCTTGATTTTGATTACATGTCGTTTTTACCAAAATAACTTGCGAGATGTATGATATTCCGTCGTGTAAGCAAAGTCAACAGTGATTACAAGGTGTTTGGTTTCATTTCTTTAACATGTTATCTAATTGATGACTAGTCTATTCTTGGACTATGGTTAGACGTCTATTAAATTTTCACAGACAGCCCAAATTTGGCCTTGTTTTAGCCTAGACGTCAGGGCTGTGTTTGGACCAAGCGTGCCGCACAAGCTCTGAAAAGTGAAGCCAAAACGTCTCGATCGCCCCCCGGTGGCTGGTCCTAGTTTAGGTCATAAACCCCACCTCCCCATGTTATTCAACGGCACGCGAGACCAACTAAACAATTAAATTACACTTCAAATATTGTTTTTCCAAAGATGGTTTGTGTCATTTACTGTAGTTTTATTCACGCTGATGTAATTTCAAGCGTTTGTTTTTAAAATAAGTTTGTTATAAGGGCCTTGATTTCGCGGCTTTACTTCCTGCTCACTACTGCGCATGTCTGGTCCCGAAATTGCTACTGCGCAGACTCAAGTTCCAAGATGTCAGCGCCATATTGGGATACTGGCGGCTTCACTTCTGACCAATGGAAGAGAGCGAAGGGGCGTCGTCCATCTTTTTTTACAGTCTATGGTTTGGACGGCTAATGGACGTCTTTTAAACGCAAAATTGCTTGCTGGGGAGGGTACTCGGACGTCCACACACCCTGTCCGCGTGCAGCCTAATTTTTGGGACTGCAAGGACGGTGCGTGTACAATAGTGAATGTGCGATTGACTTGAGCGCTTGAAAACAAAATCCAATAGATAGTGCACACGCACCGAGCGCGTCTTTCCGCGCTCAAGGCCAAAAAGAGTATACTTTGAAAGGCTTGCACACTCAACTGTGCCAGAGACGGAGCAGAATACAGAAAATGAAGTAGCCTACACCTGGGCCTTTAGGTTTTTGTTTACAACCTGTTTTGTTCAGCATGTTTGTTGTAGCCAATCAGACATATCTGTTGATGAGTGCATGTAATGGCCAATCAGATGTGTTTAAGTGTGTTCAGCGCCAGTTTGTGAATCCTTTCATTATAACCAACAAATTATAAACACGATATATTCATTGCACATCATAGAGAGCTTCATTGATTATAACGGGAGTTTTCGCAGCTTTGTGTACCTTGTGTTGAAATAGACAGCTTCAGTGATTATAATGGCAGCGATCTTTTGCTCACTTTCTGTATATAATAGATATTTTCATGCTTCTAACTACAAATTGCAGAGTTTCTGGATTGACAGCTGTATTTAAATGCACGATTATATCCGATTGTAAGTGATAACCAGCAATGGACGATCTGATACTGTATGTCAAATGATCTGTGCATTAAGTCCTAGAGCAGGGGTTCTCAAAGTTTTGATAGGTGAGGGCCAATTTAGGAACCCAACATTGAACTGAGGGCCGCCAAAGTGGCGGGGGAGAAAACGAAGAAAAAAAAACTGAAAAGAAAATCCCATTTGAAATTATTTTAATGACCAGGTTGCATCTCTACAGTTTACATTAGTTGCAATAAACACATTTTAATTCATAACTGAGGCTAAACCTGGCAAAACTTGTGAAAATTTTGGGGGGGGAGAGAAAGAAACTTTTAAAATAGAAGCTTACCAAACAAGTCATCATCATCATTCATTTCTATCATTGCTTGTCAGTCGCGTTTCCATTATTGCAGATTTGCATATTATTATCTATCTTTTTTAACCCGTAACTGAAAAACGGAAAATGAACGGTTGATGTCTTTTTAAAACGCAAAGTTGAACAACATTTTAATTTGAACTGGCTTCACCAACTGCTGCGCAAAAAAAGTAAATATCGACAGACTTTTTCAGATTTTTGTTTAAATGACTTTTTGCCCCTTTATTAAACATTTTAAATATTCACAAATTAATATGGAAAACATGTCGATTTTACTGGTTTTCTAAGGCCAAATTAGAACCTGGAATTTATATTTTTCCCGCAGTGATGAATGAGAAGAGCCATATAGCCTGTATACGTGTCTGATCTAGCCTGATTTATAGGTGAGTTATAGGCTAATGATAATAAATGCATCTGAAAAAAACAGCGAGGCATTTTAATTGTTTATTAATAAACTATTGTTTTCTAAGTGTCGGCTAAAAACATATCTCCATCTCCGCTGTTAAGCAGGTGCGCTTTTAGAGAGAAATCCACCTTTCATACGGATTACATAATCAGGTATTTGCTTTCGATTCGAGTTTGTTTGTTTAAAAGTGCACATTTTAAGCTTTAGCCTACATAGGCTATATTTTGTTTCAGTTCTCGCGCTCCAGTTCACGGAGATCATGAAAGCGCGTAGTAGCCTAGGCTACTGATTGTTTTATTTTATTTTACAAAAGCACGTTTTCTTGTTATGAGTTTACACAAATAAAAGTAGTTGCGAATAATGCATTATTATTTTCTGTATGACCAGAAATTATAGACTAGTTTAAGTTGTTTCCACTGTTGATAGGAAAATGCAAGTGTTCGCGCCCGCGAACATTTTGAAAGGTAATGGAAACGCGGCTATTAATAAGCTTGACATTGTTAAGATTATTATTAAGTCACATTGAATATTGATTACTTGGTCAACATACCCTTTTAAATTGCAATGGGATTTGTGGTGCTGGTTTCGGTTGGCCACGATTCCTATTCCTGTGTAGACAACCACTGTTCCTGGTGGGCTTGGGAGTGAGGTCAAGTGCGATCGGTCGGTCGGACCATGTAATTACCGCTTATGCCTATGGATGCCGCTAAACACCACTAAACGGAGATATTCATTTTTTCAAAGCAATAGTTTTAACAGTTTTACAGATGTTATCGCGGGCCGCCAGAAATGTTTCGGCGGGCCGCCATTGGCCCGCGGGCCGCACTTTGAGAACCTATGTCCTAGAGTGTAAATGCAAAATAATAGACCTGCCTTTGTTGTTTAATTTATTATAGCTTTCAAATCAGTCACTCAGTGACTCAGTAATCCCCATGCTTTAAATTGGCTCTATCACTCTCTCTCTCTCCTCTCCAGTGTGTGTTGTTGAGAGCACTGGCGCCGTTGTTCTGTGGCTGCCGTTGCATCATCCTAGTGGATGCTGCACACTGGTGATGGGTGAGGAGAGACCCCTGACATGATTGTAAAGTGCTTGGGTAGTGTACAGTAGAACACAGTAAAGAGCTATATAAATGCCTAATTTAATTTAATTTTTACATATCAATTTACTGATTTATAGGCATAAAATAGTTCTAAGCACTTTGTTTTATGATCTGTCCTGACAGTGGTTATTTTTTATTTCATGAATAAATCGAATAAGTTAATATTACAAACTGTTCATTTGCATTTATTTTGAAATTATTGTCAGTAACTGGGCTTGCAGTTCACTGTCTGTGTGGATGGTTGTGTTCGTCCGCCACCACCAAAGACAATTTCTGACCCAGTGAAAACCCTAATAATATGGAAATTATATTTTTAAAGAGAAAAATCTTTAGGCCAATCATCTGTGCAAATATAGTTATCATTGGCTCAATCAGGACGGGTCACCAGTGGTTCAGTGAGATAATCTAGGATCTATAACATTCAGCTGTCAATTTTATAGCAACCAGGACATGTTGCCTAAAGTTTAAGCATCAATCTGGGATCCTGATGTAGTGTTTAGCATGTGATATAGACAGTGGGGGCCTGTAACCTTTAGATATGGGAGGAAATTCCTCACAAATCTATGCAAATAGTAGGTCTGCTCCCAGACTAGAAACTATTCCAGCAGATTCCCTGCTGGTCATCAGCTATTAGTGTGCAATCCTCAGCTGTTGCTAGAATCATTGCACAACTGAAGTCTCTGTCATGTGACTTTATTTCATAAACATGACCAATGCGTACATAATGTTTAGGCAAGTTAAGGAAAGAGGAAATGACTCTTCAGGAAAGTGTACAGTTAGAGAAAAATTTAGTTTGCTGACAATTTCAAACCTGAAACCACTGAACTAACTAATTTTATTATGATTAATCAGATATGTTTTTACACACAATAACATCAAAAGTGAAAAGTAACCCCTCCCCCCATAATTTTAATGGGAAATGTTTATCACTAACTACTAGATAGTTTGGTCCCAACGTACTTAGTGTATACTGTTTTAGAAGCAGGAATAGGCTGGATAATGTACAGTAAGCAGCATTTTTATTCGCAAAATAAATGTATTAGTTTAAATCACTTGACTGTCTTGATTGATAATATCTATTAAAAATCGCCACAACAGCGAGAAAACGTAACACGAAGTCATACAAACTAAGATACGGGTACTTACGGTATATATCGACGAGGCACTGACTGTCTGGCAGTATCAAATAAAATGCACAGCCAAAAATCACAATTCGTAAGTCGTGTGTTTAATCTAAACAAATAAATAAATCGATATTTAAGACCAAGAGGACTTCAAGAGAACAACGTGATCTTTGCCCAAGCACGTCGAAATCAAATAGAATGGAGCACGAGTGAGACACACAACACGTCGAGACTGTGATGGATTGTCTTTTATCATGCAACACAAACTACAATGCAACAAGCAAACACGAATATCTACACACTACTCGACAGAAACGCTGGCGAAAATAAGCGTTAATTACTATTGCAGTGTCGAATATCGTACATTTACGATCACCAAACACATATAGCGCTATGCTACGTTAGGTACAATTCGGATGATACAGTCAGATTATAAGAAAATGTATGGGATTGCTTTGAGAAAAACAGAAGGCAGTTGATGTTACCTGATACCACCAAGGCTTCGTTTGGTCCTACCGTGTGGCAATTCCCCATATTTTTCCTGCCTGTCGCCTTTAAAAAGCTTTTCAGAATGTAAAATTGCTTCTTTTGTCGAGGATGACGAAATAGCGCGATAAAAACAGTCAGATATGAAGGCACTCAGTGTAGTCTTGTGTACATCATATTCAAGATTTCTGCCTGCATGCACCAGTAGTCACCGCCCTTTTAGAGATATGACGACTGTACTTTACCAAGGACTTTTACACAGTAAATCTGGGTTATTCCTCAACATTCCGATAGAGGGCGCCATAACATTTTAAATTAGCCTAAACTCCACAGACACATTTTATGCAAGAACGTCCAATAATTTTTTACTATTTAAAGGGTTCGGCCAGAGAATGTGGTTCGGCGTTGAAATTTCATATAAATTCTAAAATTCAAAGTTTAGGCCTACAACTTTTGTCCTTCAGCACCTGACAGGTCAGAGAGGCAACTTTGGAGTCAAATTTGCCCTGGATATTTTTGGACATCGTTTTTTTTAAAATCAAGTTTTTTTTTGTCTTTCAAAGGTTATTTCACAAGAAATTCCAGGACAGAAATTACAGCACCTAGCACATAAAAATATGAAATTGGTTACGTTCTTATCTGACCTGACAGTTGAAGTTTTTTTTGGCGTTATGCTCATGCTGTGTATGCTCATAGTCAAAATCGACCACCATTCACTATTCCTACATTACTCCACTACATATAGTCCACTTGAAGGAGTGAATGAAAACGAGTGGGTGAATTAGGACACTGACTGCGCCGGAAGGGCTGGCGCTTTTGTGCTTGCTGTTTGAAACATAGCAAACAGGCAGCTCCAGTAGTAATGAAAGGATTTATCCTGAACTCTGTCATGGAAACTAGCATGTATAAACCGTAATTAAACAATTTAATAATCAATTGAAAAGGAATTTATACCTGTATGAATCGATATTACGCTGGACCAGCGCGGGTTGGAGAATGAATGGATGATTGATTCAGCGGCGCCATCTCCTGGCGAGACGCGGGAATTCATTCATCATTCAGCGCGCGAATCTCACAGTGCATTATGGGTATTCTCTCTAGACTAGCCTTTGAGCGCATAGACATTTGCCTTGTCCAAATGCCGTCTTTTACTGTCAATGCCAAATACCCACACTTGCGGTCTTTGCACTTGAGTTGACCACTTGTCTACTTACATGACGTATTTCCTCTATTTGCCTCAAGTGTTCAAGTAGGCGTAAAGACTGCAAGTGTGCTTTTGATTAATCGATGGGACACACTATAGTCTTGCAAAAAAAGCAAGTGTTTACAGAGCTTTTATTGATTATATTTCCAATACTTTGCATTTTAAAATAAACTTCTACATGTCTGTTCAGTAGTCGCTATGTAACTAACAGAAGACACACATTTAAAATTGTGGGGCTTCTAATTAAGTGATAAAAACAGTTGCAAATGTTGTACAAAATAGCCCTACACATACCATACCATCTTTGCACCAATAAAATGTGCAACACTTTATGTTTTTACTATCAAATTATATGTGTTATCGTAGATACAAAAGAAAACAGCTGTTAACAGCTTTTAACAGTGTTACAGCCACCCACAAACACAGTGCGCCACCGCCCCCTACTGGACAAACCCAATACCACCCTTAAAGGGGTCATATAATGGTACATGCACTTTTACAAGTTGATTGTACTGAAATGTGTGTTGGCAGTGCCTGTACACAACCATCATATAATGATAAAAATCCATCCAGTGTTTTTGTTTTAATCTCCTTATATGTTTTCCCCTGCCTCAAATTGAGCCGTTCGTTTTTGTGACGTCAATAAAACGGACGCCCTTCCCGCGATTGTTGATTGACAGCAGTGATTCAACACAGACCCGCCCTCGCTCGTCCTGACAATCATAGTCTGCGCGGCGCGGATCGGCGCGGTCATTGTTGATATGCTGGAGCACTGTCTATGAGCAGAATGGCGTCTAAGCGATTGTGGTGTTCTGTTCTTGGGTGCAATAACGAACACAGCAGTCATTTTAATGTTCCTAAATCCGAACCGCTGAAGACGCAGTGGCTGAGTTTGTTTTCGAAGGGAATATTCCCCACGAGCAACGTCAATGCTCTCATGTTTGCCGAATCATTTCTCAGTGGACTGCTTTATAAACGAGGATCAGTGTAAAGCTGGTTTTGCTGAGAAGCTGCACCTGAATAAAGGATCGGAACCTATTCGTGTTCCTGCTGAACCTTCAGAAGAACTAAAGTGAGTGTAACGTTTTATTAATCTTTATATTAATATTTATATTAATCTTTGCAAATCGCCAGCTGCACGCTTCACGATGAATGCGTCGGCTTACACTCAGTGTACATTACAGCATGTTTTCTATGTACAACGTTCTCAATATAATTCATAATCCCACGTTTATAATGAACAACGCGTTATGGTTATTGTGTTATTGTGTTACAAACGGTGTATGCGCAGAACAGAGAGGCGGGGTGAGCAAAGCTCATTATCATTTAAAGTCATATGCACTGAAACGGCGTGCTGAAAACAGAGCTGTTTTTGACCAGGTAAAATAAGTGTTTTCTTACAATACTAATGAGAATTTTTAATTAAAGTATATTACAAACTTTTAATTTAGACCCTAAAGAATCATATTAGCTTGTACAAAAATGGCATTATATGACCCCTTTAACATACAACATTTCCCCTCCACTTAACTTAGGCTACGTTTACACGTGGCCGGCTCTTTGCAAATGCAAACGCAAACAGACGAAAAGGGTTTGCACCAACATAAATGCGACTGCTACTCTGAATGCATCCATGATCACCAAATGAAAATGTCGCACTTTTGACGCAGGTGCAAGTTCTGTCGCTAGGGATGGGGAAATAAAGCCGGGGAAAGCCTCAAAGCTTTGCGAGTGTCGAGAACAGCGCCATCTGGTGCTTATTTAAAATAAAGCAGACAGAAGCCTGTGTAAGAAGCTCTATCAGATGAAGCAACCACAACACACTCCATAGTTTCAATGTTATGTGAACAAATAAAAGCCTTACATGTTTCTGTTTGATTTGTCCATTAAATAAATTCCTTTACCCATTAAAATGTGACAATAAAATATAAAATGGGCTTATACACTCACCTAAAGGATTATTAGGAACACCATACTAATACTGTGTTTGACCCCCTTTCGCCTTCAGAACTGCCTTAATTCTACGTGGCATTGATTCAACAAGGTGCTGAAAGCATTCTTTAGAAATGTTGGCCCATATTGATAGGATAGCATCTTGCAGTTGATGGAGATTTGTGGGATGCACATCCAGGGCACGAAGCTCCCGTTCCACCACATCCCAAAGATGCTCTATTGGGTTGAGATCTGGTGACTATGGGGGCCATTTCAGTACAGTGAACTCATTGTCATGTTCAAGAAACCAATTTGAAATGATTCGAGCTTTGTGACATGGTGCATTATCCTGCTGAAAGTAGCCATCAGAGGATGGGTACATGGTGGCCATAAAGGGATGGACATGGTCAGAAACAATGCTCAGGTAGGCCGTGGCATTTAAACGATGCCCAATTGGCACTAAGGGGCCTAAAGTGTGCCAAGAAAACATCCCCCACACCATTACACCACCACCACCAGCCTGCACAGTGGTAACAAGGCATGATGGATCCATGTTCTCATTCTCTTTACGCCAAATTCTGCCTCTACCATCTGAATGTCTCAACAGAAATCGAGACTCATCAGGCAACATTTTTCCAGTCTTCAACTGTCCAATTTTGGTGAGGTCTTGCAAATTGTAGCCTCTTTTTCCTATTTGTAGTGGAGATGAGTGGTACCCGGTCCCGGTGGGGTCTTCTGCTGTTGTAGCCCATCCGCCTCAAGGTTGTGCGTGTTGTGGCTTCACAAATGCTTTGCTGCATACCTCGGTTGTAACGAGTGGTTATTTCAGCTTGTATCAGCTTGAATCAGTCGGCCCATTCTCCTCTGACCTCTAGCATCAACAAGGCATTTTCGCCCACAGGACTGCCACATACTGGATGTTTTTCCCTTTTCACACCATTCTTTGTAAACCCTAGAAATGGTTGTGCGTGAAAATCCCAGTAACTGAGCAGATTGTGAAATACTCAGACCGGCCCGTCTGGCACCAACAACCATGCCACGCTCAAAATGGCTTAAATCACCTTTCTTTCCCATTCTGACATTCAGTTTGGAGTTCAGGAGATTGTCTTGACCAGGACCACACCCCTAAATGCATTGAAGCAACTGCCATGTGATTGGTTGATTAGATAATTGCATTAATGAGAAATTAAACAGGTGTTCCTAATAATCCTTTAGGTGAGTGTATGATTCAATAAGATCTAAAGTAGGACTACTATCTCTTTCTACACACACACACACACACACACACACACACACACACACACACACACACACACACACACACACACACACACACACACACACACACACACACACACACACATAGTGAATAAGGACATTGTGTGATAGGATCATCTGTTATTAAATGTACTTATTATGACACTTGGCAGTGAAAGTGCTTATGTAACTGTAGGAATGACAGAAAGGTGATAAAGTTTTTAATTATTTTTATAAAGAAATAAAAGCTGTTTCACAGTGTTGGAGTCTATTTCTCCTCTTAGACAGTACTTCCCCAGCCTTAGAGAAGTTCACATGACCCAGAGGAGGCCGGGGGACAAGGAAACTGTAATGCATGTACTGTATATAGATGTTTCTGCATTCTCCAGTATTCAAGTGGATCTTCAGCTCTTTGTATGTTTGTCTCTGTAAAGTATTTATCCATATCTATGATCGCATCAGAAGTGGCATTTGAGCTTTGTTTGTGCTGGTCTACAGCACTGTCCAACAGAAGACAAAGGTTTCCACCTCAGAAGTGTTAGGAGGAGAAAAAAAATGATTGGGAGTGACTGTACATGTACATTGACTGAACATAAGACACACCAACGGTCAACAATTATAAAATACAACAATAAAATAGGCCAACAATAAAAATAGGCTATGTATTTAAATAATAAATAAATAAATATTTTTTTCTTCTTCTTTTTTAGAAATGCATAGGCTACATACATTGGAAGCTATCAGCTCAAAATATTGCCAGTCTTCCTTTTGTTGTCTGTTACCAAACAAACCCTTCACCAAACACCAACACCCT